CTCTTCCTTTAATCTTAGACCCTCTCCTGCATCTTTCTTTGTAAGATTCCTGCATACTAAGGATCTAGAAACTATTTTCATGATGTTTACTCACTTCTCATGAACTAATCCAGACCTAACTCTGCCTCGTTTCTTCCAGTTAGGAATTCAGACCCTCAGGTTTTTAGTCTAGTTGGCACAAGTTTCCCAACATAACTCTAGCACCCAAGACCTTTGTGGGGACTGCTGGCTGAGACTGGGAGTCAGAACAGACCCTGTGTGTGGATGACTTACATCTGCAAGTGTTCATTGAGCATGTACTGTGTGATGGCACCATGTGAGGTCTGGGGGGAAACCTCCCAGTCACCTTCTCAGAGTGTTAACAAGAAATGATTTGTAGGATGGAACATAAAAGTGTACCATTCTTTCCCTGAAATTGGGAAAGAGGATTTGTAAGCAAATAAAAGCTCAAGTCTTTGGAAATAAAACCCAGGTAGACTTTATGCATTTAATCTGTATAATGTGTAGTAACAATCTACAGTAGCATTGATCATAATTGATTGTAGATACTATTAACCAAAGAATTAACTAAAAATTAATAAAGAAACATTTCTAAATTGAAAAGGAAAAGATTGATTAACAATAGAGCATCCCTTTGCTATTCACAGAGGATACTTTGCAGGCTTTTGAGAAACCCTACGATCTTAAATTCCTCTGGTTTTTATTGAACTCATACACAAGTTGAGAATAATCAAGACGCATTGGAAGATGGGTATCGAGCAGTTAGTTGCTAAGCTTGTTAACTAGCTAAATGACTGTTCTATGACAGAAACCTCCTCAGTCCTGATTCAAATTTGCGTTTCAACAAAATTACAAATTACAGCCTTTCATAACCTTTTAAAATCCACTCATGAATGGTTAAAACCAGCAATATTAAATCTGTTGAATGCCAAGGGTCTCCTATAATAATAAGAGACATTCATGTGAATAGCTCGGGTAATTATCCTGGAGAACAGTAACAATTATGTATCTCGTTAAACAAGTGCCTAATTAATGTTGTTGTAAATTTTGCTTGATTAAAACACAATCTTTATAGTTGTTGCTCAGACAACATGGAAGACCGCTCTCACAACTATTAATAAAATGGAAAATCGACTTTTGGTTCACAGTTTTAGCAATGTTTTCTAAATTATTTCAGAGAGATACTTAATAGATAGAAATGTGATATGCCTTGAGGAATCCATATTTTGTGAATTATGTGTGGTAGCCATTCCCTCATGTGTTATTCCTTTAGTGTCATGAAATCATCTCTGTGGATTAGGGAACACAGTCACTAGAACACAAGTAAGCAGTTGGATATTATAGCTGAGGAACTCCTGCATCAAGGATGATCTGTTATAAAAAATTTATTGAAAATGTACTATGTGCTTGTATCACACCAGATTCCAGACTAATGACCTTTAGAATTTAAGATGTTGAAGTTTTAGTAGATATTATCTTTTCATTTATCTCTTAAGATGACAGATGGTTGTACATGTTTGCCAGGAGGAAGGAATCCATGGGGAAAAAAAAACAATAAGAGAGTTGAGAGATGAGAGAACACTATAGAAGTTCTTGTAGGTGTGGGAGTGATCTGCAGTAGTTAGGAGTCCTTCTTCCTCCAGGCTTAAGGACATTCTGGAAGAAGCAGACATCAGTTGGGGCTAGGAATTGGAGGAAACATGTTAGAGAAAAGTATGAAAAGGTGGGAGAATGTGTTTAAAAAGAACAATGTTTAAGGTTTATAAATCTGAATGAAAGATTCTGGGCCCAAGGAAGACATGGTCCTGAGGAAGAAAGTACAGAGCACTTTGAGACTAAAATTATCAAACAATGTAGAAGACCAGCGGGGCTCAAATTTGGTAGTGGGGATAATGGTTCCAGATGGAACTCTAGTTTGAAGTTTTTCCACTGCCAGAGCAAGCAGGGTATCCAGGGTTATTGTAGACTTCTTGACAATAGCAACCTGAAATCTTTGTTCTGTCATCACTGAAAATAAGCCTCAGTAACTCTAAAAGCTCTGTTTATGGGATTTAAAAAATATCTACATGGAAACAGGATAAAATATAACACATAGTAAAGAGCTGAGGTTTTGGTTTCTTCATCAAGTCAGAGAAAGTAAAAATATTTATTAAGATAATATTTAATAAAACTTGAAGAACTAGTTTTATTAGCACCTGAAAGTCAGGAATGAAAGTCTACATGACTTCAGTAAATCAGGAAAGTGAATATAGGCTGTAGCTCAGTAGAAATTGCTACAAGATTGTACATGTAAGCAGGAGAATCAAAATATGTGTTAGAGATGTAGGGTAGCCCAAGGCTTTCTAGGAAGAAACGCAATAATAATAGGATAATATATTTCATGTATCCATCAGTTAAAGTATTAGAGGTTAATTAGTACTTACACATTAAGCACCACACATACGTAAGGTATCATGCAAGACACTTTTCTGTACACTGTGGTGATTAACTTCTTTAAAAAGTCAGAATATGCAACATTTCAGGTAGTTTACAGACTAGCAGAAAGACAGCACTCGTACCCAACCGCCATTAGATTAAATTAAGTTCCTCATGTATCTTGCAGAAGCTGGATGTCCACACAGTGCAGAGCCAAGCACAGTGTGCTTTTCCATGGCTCCTAGTCCCTAACGCAGGGTCATCCCTAGGATGTGTGGAGTCTGTCTACATAAAGAATGTGATAAAACATTGTATGACAAAATTCATGGGCCCATGTGAGGTGTAGCTGATGAAGGGTTACAATATTGGATAGAGAAGAGAACCTAGCATGTGCTTATTGTCCAGTCAGTGCAAGTGAAGATGATTCCTACTGTCCAGGTACCATTTCTTCCTATTCAGTCCTAGGAACTCTCTTTTCTTATCCCATATTTTCAAGTGTACCATTTGTGGCTGATTGGATATCTCAGGCCATGAGAAAAGGGTAGCCATGCTACTATTACTCATAAAGCCATGACTCATCTAAAATAGCAAAGAAACAAAAGAGAATGCTAATTTTAATTTTAGGTAGCTTTTTTTAGTATGTTTTCCTTGGACCAGGATCAACTACGTCATTTGAGAGGCACAGTGCAAAGTGAAAATTCAGGGCTTGTTTAAAAATTAAAAATATTAAGATGGCAATACCACGTTCTTAGATGAGTGTGAATGAGGTGTGTCCTCCAGCCACCTGCCAGGTCCATGATGCCGAGGGCATGCACTCCTGACCCCAACCTTCCCTGTATCAGCACTCAGGCCCCTGCCACAGCAGAGAGCAGCAGCAGTCACTGTACAGGGGCAGGGAGAGGGGCGGGGGTGCTTGGGACACCAGGTTGGGGAGTGGCAGCCAAGAATCATATCAAAGATAAGCAGCAAGAGACAGGACACCCTTGGGCTGAGGCTCCAAGTCCCTGAAACACGCCTCATTGTCCCATTAGCCCACATACAAAACACAAATTCACAATAAAATGATTAAGAAGTCTAAGATGGCAACCACAGAACATTGAGCCCCAAAGTGGGAACCTTCTAAGCATAAGGCACAGTGTGACTGGTCACTCGTCCATGAATCAGGCCCCACTTTGGACTTTCACCAGTGTGTACTGTCTGCATCAGCTGGGCATGTGGAAGCACCCTAGAATCATGCAGAATATGACAGGGGAACGAATTTGTCACAGGTAACTTGTAATTTGGATAACATGACATATGACATGAGATAAGAATTGATAGTTGAGATTTCAGTAAAATTATTAACTAATGACTTCTTACTGTTGTGGAACTAGGTTGTGAGGATGGAGGAGGATGGCTAAGAAGGAGTCACTGTTTACTGGGGTTGAAAGATACAGGCACTGGGGACTATAAAACAGACAGGCCGTGATGTGTGCCATAATGGACATATAAACAAGAACAATAGGAAAAGTAGGAGGAAATTAACTTTGATGGATAGTGTGGAAAAGCCTTGTAGGGGGGAAAAAAGACTTTAGTCAGGCCAAGATGAGTAGTATTTCAAGTGCCAGAGGCTAAGTGGCACAACTTCCAGACCAAAAGGACAGCAGAAGCAAAGACAGCGAAGGGGAGAACATGTTGATAGATATGCCTACATGCTGGGACTTTCAGACATTCCTTTATATTTATTGAACATCTATTTTTCCAGGCACTGAGTAGAAGCAGAGGGTATAAATATATTGGGTTAGGAATCAGACAAAGCATCTACCACTTAACTAGCTGTGTGACTGGAGACATCTTAATTAACCACTCTGAGCCTCAGTTTTAGTCAGCTGTAAAATAAAGACGTTGATTTAACAGAATTATTATAAAGGTTAAATGAGATAATGTTTGTAAAATACTCTGACCAGTACCCTCAATCTAGAGGAGACAAGCAAATAAACAAATAATTGTGGTAATACAAACTGTGAAAGCACAGAAAGGGGAGCGGCTCTCTCTGCCCGAGGGTTCTGTGCTATGCTTCCTGAAAGAGATGATATTTGAACTTGACGCTGAAGGGTAAGTATGTGTTTATAAGCCAAAGGGAAGCTGAGAGAGATTCTTCTTAGGGTGAGGTCTGAAAACGATAAATCCCCTTTACGATCTGTATGGGGTCGGGGGATAGGGGTGGCAGCAGGAAGAGAAAGCGGACCATGTATACATCCGTAGGTAAAAACAAAAGGCAACTTTTCATTCCCACCCCAAACCACTTTCTGTGCGGAGTGCTCCCTCAAGTAAGATGTAATCCAGTTTGCATGAGAGTGCCTGGAGCAGACGTTGTGTGTATTTTCTTCCTTCTACAAGAAGTCTGGAGCCAGAAGGGAGGCACACTCTCAAGAAATGTAGTTGCTTTTCCCATCCTCATGTGGAGCATTTTGCTTAGTTGGCAGACATTTAACAAGACTTGATTGGCTCTTTTAAAAATAGGAGTCTTAGTGGTCCTGATTGATCAGTTTTATCATGTGCTTGGTGCTTTAAAGTACAAGTCTTTTTCTGTCTTCTCCCTCCAGAGTGAACACTTGCCCCTGCAGACTCAGTTCAAAGAAAGAGAGGTTGGCGGTCTCCAGCACTCTGTAAGTAACACAGTCCTCAGGTGGAATCTGCCCACGCCCAGCCGGCGGCCACCATGTTTATTAAAATACCATTTTATTTCCATGAAATTTCATTTTACTCACCTCTACTATCTGAGCATCTGTAGTGTGATTTTGTAAAGTCCTTGAGCTTGCTTATTCCTCTTAGAAGTAATTAAGTTTATAAAACCAATAATCTGACACAGGGTCAGAGACACCATAGGGCATTGGGGTGGGGAGGTTCATTTTATGCTGTCACCTGGGACCCAAAGTCAAGTAAGGAAGAAAGGTCAAGACAGGAGGCTATTTTTGACAGCATTTCTTATTTTCACCTGCATTGGACATATGGTCAAATACCAGATCATTTCTCTCTGTCTCCTCCCTAATTCTCCAGTGCTGAATCCTGTGGCTTCCTTTGGTTTTGTTTGGGTTGTTTGATTTAATACTCTGTATTACCCCATGCATGGACTCCAAGCTTGAGCCTTGCTGAGACTCCTGAGATTCACAACCTTGTTCTTCTTCAGTTTACCTTAACTGATCCCAATTCCAAATTCCAAAACCTGAAACTGACTACAGTCCCCATTAGTCACCATTTTTTATTTAGGAGATGTCACCACTCTTGTTCAGGGATCGTAAGCAACAAATGACTGGAAAATGGTAAGTTGTTCAATTTTACCTTGCCATTCAACAGTGTAGTGAAATAACGAATCAGAGACACAGACTGTAACGTATTCTGTTTCTGCCTGTTTTTACCCAAGAGCTAGGAAAAATGCAAACAGCTGCTCTGCTAATGTAAGCAATGTTTGAATTTTTAGAATGGACTGAATAGCAGGAGTTTTGACTATGAAGATGAGAATGCAGTGGGGGAAGATGGGATTCAGCAGATGTACCCCCTCTACGATCAGATGTGCTACCAAGACCAGAGCCCTGGCAAGCATCATCCAAACCATGACCCGGAGAGGGTCTATATCAACCCGCGGGAACACTACGTGTGACTGTCCTCTTTTTCCAACGGGTGTTCTAACAAATGTTTATTCTTAGACTGGGGAGAGAAACTGAGGCCAGTAGATATGATTTTATTCTCATATAAAGCAGACCTGGTCTAAGTGTATCAGAAGTGGTGATAAATGGCTTGGAGCCAACAATGGATTCCTTCCCTCCATTAAGAATTTTTTAACCACCAGCTGTGTTTGTGAACTTGACTCTAGCTTTGTGTGTTTTTGTGATGATGGTGTTTAACTACTAACATTTGGCCTACAATGGCACGTTCATTTAAAAGCAGAGCATCTGCCTGGGATGACAGCCGTGATTCTCCAGACAGAAAGGCCCCAGCTGGGAATATTAACCTTGCTGGGTCTCAGGCAGTCCAGCCTGTTCATCTATAACTCAAACAGGCAGAAAAAGGAGCTCAAAATCCATCTCACTGATTATTTAGTTGGGATTTGGCTTTCCCTGGCATGCTTAATATAATTACAATACCTGCTTACAAACAAGAGGCCGGAAGAAAGAGGCAAAATTTGCCGTTTATCCCCAAAATAACAACCAAATGCAGTATAAACCTTCAAGCCTGTTGGTTGCTTTTAGACTCTTGGGCTATTGTAATATGTGTTCCTTCGTGATCACTGTCGTCCTGAGGGATGCATATTTCTTGCTGTTGTCTGCCTGGTCTTGATTAGCTGTGTACAAACCAAGGTACTTCTCTCACTTGGTCATTGTTCCCACAGTTCTGCTCTTTACAGGCCAGATTAGCCTGTTTCCCACCTATTAAATTCTAAAAGCCCTGTCTAAATGGTGGACAGCCTTGAGCCTTTTCCCTCTTTTCTGTGGTGTTGTATGTGACAGGCTCAGCTTTCACTACTGAAATTTCTTTCAAACTAATCCTATCCACCCAGGTTTCAGCTACCCTCTGCATTCTTCAGACTACTTGCTGTCCATGTTTTATCTACCTCAGAAAAAAAGCCTGCTGGAAAATCACCATGAAATAACTCATGCTCTTAAAGCCAAGTAGAAAGTCTGAAAAGCTAAAAAAAAAAAAAAAAAAGCTACCTTAATATGGCATATGTGCTAATCATGTGATCCTTGATCCCCCCTCCCCCTACTTTCCCTGGTAAACAATTAGAGTGAAGAGATGCTAAAGTGCAAATAATACAATTGACTAACTTACCAGTGTATCTTGCAACACCTTGGTGCCTGCCAATATCTGTCTGGAGTTTTCTCACTTCCCTTTGCCAACTTTTCCTTGCTGAGCTTGAAGGTAGCAATTATAGTGGTGAGAGCAGAGGCGCGAGCACAGGTACACGTGCAGGTGTCAATCACCCTCCTGCACATCTTAAGGAAAGCATTGCTTTACTCTGTGCTCTGGGAGATTAGAGGTCTGTCACAGATGTAAAAAACACTGCAGACTTGTCATATATTACGGGAAAGAGACATAAAGCACTAAAATAAAATAGTACACATTTCCAGCCTAAGCTTCAAGGGGATAGAATATTAACATAGATTTCTCATAGGATACCAAAGAAATGTTTTGATTCATGTTGTGCTGGCTCTATTTCTTGCTTGTATGTTTGTTTCCTTTTTTTTAGGTGCCATGCTTTGTCAGCAAACTATCCAGGTAGTTCTGCAGTGGTAATACCACCCCCCTTCAATTACCTGGGTGGCCAACAGTTCTGTAAAAGATGATGGTTATATGGCATCACAGGGCACCATATAACTCCAGGCACCATCATTGCTGTATCACTGTGCTACCTCAGAGTTAGTTTACTGCCCTTGCTAGCAAGCTAACACAGAAAGAGGACATCTGACTTTATTACTTGTAATCCCATCAGTGAGTTAATGTAACTGAAGGTGCAGAGATTCTTGCAATTGTTTTCCAATAGAAAGATAACTCCAGTCAGAGCTCTCCTTGATAAGGAGGTGTTTTATAAATACTGGCTGTTACAGAGGAGGAGATACTGTGGTGCATTGCCTCCTTTAGTGAGCTTTAAAAATGTCTTACACCTTGATGAGGGTTTCTAGGGTCCTGCTGGGAAGCAGGTTGTTGAATTAGTGTCAGAAAAGTGTACCCTGGACCTAGGGGAGATAGAGATCATTTGCACTAGGGAAAGAGATTTGGAAGAACTGAATTTCAGAGCCCTTTGACCTGTTTTTCACCCTCCCTACCAAGAACCCACTATTGAATTTTTTTTTTTCACATTCTCGGTGTAGTTCTAGAAAAGAAATCTCAGGATATAGACACCTCTCTCAAAAGCCAGCCAGTTCAATATCCTCTTTGCCTTTCTGTCAGCTATGCTATTTCTTGAACAAACTGGTAGATTTTATAGCTGTTGGCCCCTCTACATGGGTCACAGGAGCTATATAATTGGTGATCCTGGTGCCTCCCATCTGTTCTCTCTAAATACTGAGTGGAATAGAAAGGAGCTTTAAAAGGGTTTGATCAACCAGCCCCCTCAACCAAAAAATACCATCCAAAATTAACCTGATGAGCTCTAAATTTGGAGCCTAGACTACTTGACGATGGCCATTTAAATTTGGAATAGACTCTTAAAGGTCAGTGAGTAAGGCTTAAGGATGGAAGCCTCAGCTGATACTAGATACTTTCCCCATAAATGGTTTGCTAAAACACACTGAAACAGAAATAAATCCCCAGAGTGCTTACCCACTTACGGCTGCAGCTTTGCGTTTCAAGGGGAAGTGTGCAGGCCCCATCCTAAACTCCGGCCTTGGCTGCCTGTTTTGTAGGCAGCCCAAGCTCCGGGAATGTGCATTATAGCTGCAGTAGCCGATCGCCAGGTTCTTTGCACAGCACACTGAAATAGAGCATCTGCACCATTTAGGATTACTCTGACATAATGGGATAGGAATTTAGATTAATTCTTAAATGGCAGTGATTTATTGCCTCTTCTATGAGGGTCCCCCTATCCCAGGCTTTCTTATATGTTCTAAAATTGGAGAAGTCCATGCTCTTTGAGGCATGCAATATAAAATTCTTACCTGTGCTAGCTTCCCGGTAACATGCACTTAGTAAATACTAAAGAAATGTGCTGTAAACTAAATGAACTGGTCCCCTCATTCATTTTATGGCCTTGTTTACTCATAGAGATAGTACAGTTTCTTCATCCATCTTTTGAGAATGCTTTCCTAGTTCCTCTTCACAACAGTCTAAAGCTCACTATGTTTTTCGTTGTATAGTTTTCCCTGCAGTATGCTCGTCTCCTACTGCTATTCTTTATTTGCAACAGAACCTTTCTTCAAGCCTCTTGTTTCCTGGGGCATAGAAGATACATCATTATACCAAGAATCAGAGAACAGGTTCTAGTCCCAGCTTCACCCCTTTCTAGCCATGGAAACTTAGACAAGCCCTCTAATCTGTCTAGGGCATCAGTTGCCCCTGTTCCTAAAGCAGAGATTGTAACACCTTCCCTATCAGCCTCTCAGAAATGGGGGAAGAGTTAAACATGGTAATGATGCATGGGAAATTGTTAAGTTCTCTTCATATGAAGATGCCCAAGACTCTATCATTGCTGTGTGTTCAACCTGAGCTCCCAGCACCCTTGCCAGCATTTAGAGTACCATAGTGTCCTCACGGAGAACCAAGTGCCAGATGAAAATTTGAGTTCAGCCTGATTTGAGAACAGCCAAGTGAAAGCGGTAGGCATCTCTTTTACTGTAATAAGCATCTGTTACATGAAGGGCTTCATATCTGGATTTTAGCCTTTTAAACTCTGTTGACCAGTTGTTGCTCTTGATTTACCGGTTACTACTGAGAACAGCGACCATTACTGAGGGTGTAGTATGCACTGGATTCCAGGGCAAGCACCTCACCTGGATCATTTCACTGATTAGACCCAAACTTCTGTTTTGTCCCCTTTCCAGGAGCCCCTGTGGGAACAGAACGGCTCCTACTCTGCACACCCCCAGATCACACCACTCATCAGTTTGCTGTTACTTCTTCCAAGCCTGCTCTGGGGGAGTGGTGTGAGGGAAGAGGCTTTCCTGACTTTGTTTTTAAGCAGAGGTCTAAGAGGGTACATGGAAGAAAACCATAAGAGATGTTTACTGAGAGGAAAGCAATTGTATATGCTCACCTTTACTTACTTTTTGAACTTTCCAAAATACTCAGAAAGCATCCCGTATCTATTAGATTAACCATTTTTGCAAAACTAAGCAACCAAATAATGAAAGCCGCTCCATCCCAGTTGGTTCAGCCTCAGTGGGCACAAGCTAACACCTCTTCCTCAACTTAGCAGTTTGATGTCCTCATTGCCTTTCTGAGTTTGTTTCACCTTTCTTGAACTCCCGGGCGTGGTAGCACTCTCACAGCGGACAGCCGGAAAGCAAGCTGGCTTTGGTAGGAAGCCAGAAGAGCAGGAAGGGCGTGAAGCGGGAGTGTCAGGGCCTCACCCAGGCTTCTTCCTTGTGCTCCTGTTGTTCCGTGCTCACCTGACAAGGCCCTTGGGCCATCTGCAGACTTTCTGGGAGGACCAGGGACTTCCAGTTCTTCCATTAAACTAGAAACTGCTGTCTGCAAGCCTACTCAACTGTGAACTATACCTGAATTAATCATATTGCCCCTAAAAGTTTTCTGTGTTTCCTCCATTAAAGAAAACTGTTGTAAGCTGGACTTGGCCAGTCTGGTCACGTACAGTTACTAGGTGAGAGTGGGCGAGAGCCGTAGGCCTCCTCCCCGCAGTCTCACCAAGTGGTGTATTACACTGAAATCAGATTTTAAGCCAATTGCTGCATCATTCGTGTATATAAACAAGCGGGTACCAGAATGAGCATTCTGTAGTAATAGTCTGTCATATAAGATTGAAGAAGTCCTCAGTCTACTCTTTTAGAGAAGCCAACGGTATCTCATGTAAAAGGGTTATTAGACGTGAATCCAGTCATATTCCAGCAGATTCAGTGCCAAACAACCTGATTCCATTTAACTTCTAGACATAGGACAGGTTAGTAATCTAGGCATCGTGGGACTAGTGGGCTTACTAGAGCTGTATGCCCTGTTCCTGGAAGGGATGGAGTGCCCTACGGTACCGGGGCCAGTGCACATACCTTTAACACCACTAATTTGACTGATTCAAAACTAATCACTTATTAACAAAGTCTCTGGTGCTGAGCTCTTGTGGTGATAGCATCTGAAGTGACTCTGAAGTGAGTTTTTCAGATACTAACAACCTGTGGAAGGTGTAGTCCCAAAGAGGAAACTTCACGTGTTAACTAAACACTCCTAGGGTGTATATTAAGACCAATTAACATATGCCAAAATAATTGAAATTACGCTCCACGTAACAGAATGTGTTAAGGATTCCTTGTGTTATCACACCCTCGCACTGGGGTGCCGTCTGTTCACCGCTCTGATGTCAGCCACCTGCTGAATAGTCTCACTGGCATTTCTCCTTAGTGACAGCCTTTCCCTTCTTAGGGGTGGAGGTGTGTTTGTGTGATAGAGAAAGACAGACAGACAGAGGAGAGAGAAGCCTACTTAAAATTCACAGTTGAAGAAAAATTTTGCAATTCACACATACAGGAGAACCCTCACATCTACAAACGTTCCACTATTTCAGGCCCATTTTATTATATTTGCTTTAGCATTATCTCTGCAAAAATGTTAGTGGTGGGAACAGAGGCCATATTTACCTTAACAGCTGAAATATGTAAAATATTAGGTTTATTTCTAATGTATTTCCATTATTAGGTTAGTTATTATCTATTCATCTTTCGGTTTGATTGTGGAAGTTTGCAGCCGAGTAGACTAGAATAAAAGAGAATGTCAAAAATTCAGATGACACTAAACATCTTTTTATCAAACGTTACCAATTGACAGCATGGTGTAGAAGTTCCTTGTATATCTCAGGGAGAAGGGAAACCACCATTGGCAAATAAAAGGATTCTCCATTCCGTTGGTTGGGAATAAATGCCTTCCACTGATCCATTCCCCAGAATATTCTAGTCAGTGTTTGGGGGCTAAGGCCATGATATATATCAAATTGCATACCTCCTGAAACCAAAAAGTTCTAGTTATATCCAATGTCTGTTACCTTTAGCTTGAGGTGTAGGGATAAATGCCTGAGTTTGAAGGGAAAAGGTGTTGTGAGTATTTATGGAAAACAGCAACATCTCTATGACTCTTTCTGACCAATAAGTGGTGAGAAGCATTTTGCAAATGTCCTGTACTATATAAATGCATGGCGAGTAATCTGGAGGGTCCTCGGGTAGAAATGTGCTCTTGTGTAGCTCAGTTCAGAATACTAATCCACCTATTGTTTTCAGAAGGCAGCACCGTGTCCTCTAAAGTGCCCCCATCCTAGAACTGTGTTGTTTACAGTTGCCCCTTGCACAAGATTTACACAGGGAGCATGTCATTTGGACCCAAGGAGATAGACTAATGGAATTGAAAATTTTTACCCCATCTGGAGGTGGGAGACTGAACAGTCCCCTTCTTGAGATTTTTTCCTAGCATTACCATTTAAAGTTCTTATGATCAGGTTTCCTGCGGCTCACTAGGACCCTCGGTATCATGGCCTAAACCAGTTATGTTTATTATCATGGCATGGGACCGAGCTGTGAAAGTTGATTAGAGGAGACCTGGAGGGAAAGCACCCCTGGGAATCCAGAACATCAGATTTGCTACGCTGGCTTAGAACTGTGGCCTGTCCTGTTACAAATATGTCTGACAGCCATGAAGGAGTGTTTTATGTGTCTCCTGCAGAGGTTAGGAATGTACTTCAAACATTTGTAATGTCCCTTAATAACTCACAGTGGGTCTATAAAGCCCAAAGTTCCACATGATTTCCCAAACGCATGGGCACCATTGTTTTGGTTTTCATTATTCTTGCCAAAAATGACCAGCTTTTTTTTTTTAATCCACCCTAACACATTGATCAGGCTAAATTAAATTCTTCTCTCAAGTCATGCTGATGGCTCAGCATTATCATATTTTAACTACAGACAGCAGTGTTTTGTCCTAAATGCGTTAGTTTGCACTTGCCCACACTGTGGCTGTAATGCCTCTGTTTTTTCACATGGTCTAATGAGAACTTGTTGCTATATTCCCTTCAAACGAGCATTTCAATACCCAGAAGAGCATTTGTCATCTTAGGTTTCACTGTGTACTTGAAATTCCAAGTCCTTTGTGAAAAAATGTTAAGTAGCTGGTGTTGCTACTGGATCTGAGGATTATTCCACTTGTCCATCCAGAAAAGTTCCTGTTTATCCTCTCCCTTCTGTTTCTATTTCTAAGCCAGTGCTTTAAGGCGTAACATCTGCTTCAGCCTGTTCACTCTCCATGTGGTCTTAACCTCTTCACTTCCTTCCTTCTCGGATTCCCCCCTGTAAGCTGGTACTTTCCACCTCACAGGGGTTCTATGGAGAGGGAAAATAAGACGTTTAAGGGTTGTCTTCAAGAGAGGTCCTACTTTTAAAGTGATTTTATAAAAGCCCCTTGGCTTAGAAATGAGAAAGTCTATAGCTATTATTTTTTTCCTATTCTTATTTTGCTATTTTTATTTCTGAAAGGTGATCTCTATCTGAATAGAGTCTTTACTTTGGTTTTAGCTTTCTTCTCATTAACCCTTTTAATACTAAAATTGTGCTGTCTACCTTATCCACGCTCCGAACTTTTTCCCTATAGAGCCAGAATTGATTCTCCCACGACAAATCCCGCGTGCTCGACTTCCATCATTGAACAAATTCATGTCTTCCAAAAAGAAGCTTCTGGCTCTGGACATAAGAAGTCAGAAGCCAAATGAGGTCTCACTTTGGCCCTGGCAAGCTCTCACCGTGTGCCTTGGTTCTCCCTGTGTAAACTGAGGTTAATTCTGCTATTTCACAGCACCTGGGTGTTGTGAGTCCTGACCAATAAATGGTGGAAAGTATTTTGCGAATGTCCTGTACTATATAAATGCACAGGAAATAATCTGAAGAATCCTCAAGTAGAAATGTGTTCTTGTATAGCTCGATTCAGAATGCTTATCTACCAGTTGTTTTCAAAAGAAACATTTTACTAACTTGTTCTTTTTTTAAGTGAAAATTAGTTTCTAGTCATTTGACCCATTTTTATTTTTCTGTATAAGAAGTGATCAGTAGCATATATTCCTGCTTTTCAGAAAATAGCCAAGTTGTGTTTTAAGTGTTAAAACTGAAAGGGTTACATAACAATGTAGTGGGGTAAGGAGGAGAAGGGTTCTAGCTCAAATGTAGCAAGATAGAGAAATATGAAGATTAGCTTTGATTCTGAAATTGTGTTATAAATAGTAGATGTTAATGTGGTTGTTTTTAGATACTCTTTATTTTTAAGTCATCAGAAATTGTCCTTTATTTTTGTAGTTTTGAACTATATGATTCTTGACAAGTTTTGAATAAAGTTTTTATCAACTAAAGTTTTTCATTTTCATTGTTGTCAGTAAATCAAATATTAAAAATACATATAAAAATTAATAACTTAATTATATGACTGTAAAATTCAAGATTTAAAGAACACCTTTTATAAAAGGTGTAAGTTTCTATACTGAAGTCCTTTATAAAAAGTGATTTTAAAAAATAGTAACAGAAGTACTTTTAAATTTCAAGCCATATTGGAAATTTTTTAAATGTATAAATCATTTTTATTATTTAAATTTCAGAACAAGTATCACATTCAGAATAAGAACCACACACTAGTTGAGTATTATAAAGCCCACCCTAAGAATGGATGGCCACAGTTCAGTCTAAATATTTTCTAAATGTTCTTTGAAGACAAAGTTGAATTTATAATATTCATTATATAATTCATTAATTAACCTGCTCAAGATCACAAATGCACTAAATTCTACTTTAATAATATATCATTCAATAACCAAAAGGGCATAATATTATAATGTAATGCAAATTGGAAATGGAGAAAAATGTAAGAAGTCTTCAGATAAGTCTTTTTACCTCATAGCCAATAGTTTCAATCTCCTCCCAACAAAATCTTTTCCCAGAAATACCAATACAAAATTAAGGATCTTAGAGTTTCCTTACCTTGGTGGTGGGGCAAATATCAACTCTTAAATAATCAGGAATTAACCATGGCATTTCTCAATCAATGCCTTTCTCAATTCTGAAAAATTCTCTGCCACTGCCTCTTCATATATAGGAACTGCTAATTCTCTCTTAACGCTTCCACGTCTTCTGCAACGCCTCATGAACCGAATGTTAGCTCTCCTCATTTTAACTTCTAAACTAAAATTAAATTAATTTTAAATTAAAAGTCATGTTTTAATCCCTTTCTCTTGCTCTTCTCTTTTTTTGAGGGAGGGTAATTATTTTATTTTGTTTTATTTTATATATTTTTAATGGAGGTACTGGGGATTGAACCCAGGACCTTGTGCATACTACGCACATGCTCTACCACTGAGCTATACCCTCCCCATCTTATTCTCCTCTTTTCTTATTTTTTGGAAATGTTTTTTAAGACATGACAAGTTTACATATTATTGTAATTGCTTATGAAAATTACTTACTACCTTTTTAACGAAGCTAAATTTATTCCACTTAACGAATTGTTTTTCATTCCTTATCAGTCCTTTAGGTTTTAAAATGTCCTTTCTTTTATGATATGGTATTGCTGCCAGATAGTAACTTTTTAAATATTCT